TTCAGATCTTGCAGTGGTATTGTTTGAAACTGCAACTTTGAGATCAGGATATATGTTGCCAGACACTAAGGAATATGGAGACCGAATAGAAAGAATGCTTCGTTTGAGTTTAAATATTGACCTGGATGCAAAGGTTAGTTTGTCTTCAACTTGGGGCTGATAATGGACTTTACTGTTGCTACATCTAAAAAGTGCAGCTACTTGATTCACATGCATTCAATTAAATGTATCCAGCTTCCTGCCACATAAGTGGGCCACCAGAAGCCCAGCCATGAATCTGGACTTCCTACTCATGTTTTCCCTTCCCCACCTCTTCTTTCTAGTTGCTTGAGATTCTGCTACCTCATTATGCTTCTCAAGTGTTGTCCTGGTCCCTAGCTAAGTGTTGGTTCTACAGGAGTAAATTAGGGATCAAAAGCATGTGTGCCTATCTCTTTAATAGAGAAATTTGTAAGTGGATATAAGTAATATGGGTTCTCATAAGTGCGAGAACTTATCCTGGGTATTTTGCTGGAGAAGGCATGACAGTGGGTCAGTGCTAAACAGAACTTGCTTTCTCCTTCAGGTAGCTTGGGGCAAACGTTAGGATGTTTCCATGGCCTGTACTTAGCTAGTCTGCAACTAGCAAACATCCTAAACAAGTAAAGCAAATTGCTTGTGACTGTCATACAGGTGGAAGAGGAACCTGAAGAGCCTGAAGATGCAGCTGAGGACGCAGAGCAAGATGAAGAGGAAGTGGATGCCGATGCTGAGGACAGTGAAACACAGAAGGTAGGGTTTCAAGTTTGACACTTTCTTGCCAATATTTATGTGCAGTTTTGTCTGTGGTGCTTCCTGGAAATAAATTTGTTCACTTTGTTCATGACACTAGATTTTAGTGTGAGGTTTTCCAGGCTTTTCTTGGGGGGGGGGGGGAAGGCAGCACAAATTCCATATCAAACTGTATTGTAAGAAGATGATATCCACTTGGATAAGGTGGAGCTAAATTAAGCTTAAGAGATAAAAGCTTTGGATTATCTGTGGTATTTCCACAGCTTGCAGACAAAACCAAAGATCAGCAAGAATGTAGTTTCAAGTGCTTTTACAATACAGACTTGTAGCAAGACTACAGACAACAGCATTGCTTCTAAACAGTTCAACTATTGTGTGAAGTCAGCCTTCACTTAGTTAATGGCTGCAGTTTTAATGATGTCTTGATGAATATGCTAAACCCTTCCCATACCTTAGTTTCTTGTGAAAAGACCTGCAAGATAACCTCTTGTGACTAGTGCAAATCTATAGCTTACAGAGATGTAATTTCCTACAGAAGAATGCTTATTGTACTATAGCTACTTAATTTTGCTGCAGTATAACCTGTGATTACAGTAATACAAAGTTTCTGTTCTCTGGAACGGCTCTTGTAACCTTTTTCCACTTTCAAAAAGCAATATCCTGATTCTTTCTTTGTCTTGACAGGAATCTACAGATGTGAAAGATGAACTGTAAACTACACTCAACTACTGTCCTGCATTGGGGGGTTAAGAGGGAATGTGAATTAGATTGTTTTGGTTTTTTCCACTGTAAAATGTTGAGGGATGGTATGGGGTTTAAGGGTAAAGGAGGGGTTTTTTTAAGTTCACTTTTCTAAAAACATTCCTCATGAATGTAAATTTGTATTATTTAACTGACTTGGTGTAAAATCTTGTCATGTACAAAATAAAATGTTCCCAAACACCACTAACTTTAAATTTATATATGGAAAGCTCACCTTGTGGGCTGGCACAAAGAAATAAAGGGATGGTCCCTTGCACAACTGGGCAGTTGGCAATCCTCATGCCTTTTGATGCTGGCACAGCCACACCAACTAGTGTAGCATATGGCTATGGTTGGGTTTTGTGTTTACAAACCTGCTGTGCTGCTTTGTCAAAAGGCACCTGGTATCTGAGAGCTGTGTTGTACTTGCTAGTTGAAGAAAGTATTTAAGATGGCAGTAGATACATAACTTCTTGAAGTTGAGACAAGGCATTTAAAAATGGCATTAGAACTTGGGCTGGGCAGTGGTAGCTTTACAGCTGAGATGGGGGGGAATTCCTTTCACTAGGTATGTGGACAACCCTCATCAGAGGTGGCTTTACTGCCTGTGAGCTGCTACCATCCTCTGTGGTACTTGGAAACCCTGCCTTTGACTTGTGTAGCTACAGCAGTTGTTTCCTACAGGCTTTTTTTAAAGGTGTGGAAGTTCTTTTCTCATGGTTACTCCTTAACGCTGTTATTCCTAAACTTTATCACTATTGTTCTGTGTCTCTTTAGTATGGCAAAGCACTACAGATACTTAATATAACTCAAGCTAAATCTATTGACACCAGATTTTAATGCAGGGAGGTTAAACTGGAGGCACCACTTTTATTCATTACATTAGTTCTATGTAGTGGTTGGATGAAGCACTGCATTTTCTCAGTAGTGCCTCTACTTTAAAACATCTTCACAGGGTTGGTAGAAAGTGTTTGCACTGAAGGGTTTGTTTTTTGGGGTTTTTTAGCCTTCCTCTGTGGAAGAACTACATAAGCGTGGTACTTCTACATCGTGATTCTCCTTAAGAACCCCTCACTACTGTTTCCCTAACAGAAGTTCTGTGAAGTTACAAGGTTCTGCAATCTAAGGCAAAATAAACTTGTTAATTAGGTTAGAGCACTAAACACTGACCTGAAGAACTTGCTTTCCATTTACTTTTACTAGGCTTCTATATTGCATTTCCATGCAATAAATATGCCACGTATCACTGTGGTTATGGTGTTAGGGTTTGTAGAGAGATAGTTTTATTGAAGTATGCTGTTTGAGACCTAAGGAATGAAAGCTTAGTTTGGGGTGTTTTTGAGAGAGTTCGGAGTTCTGGTTTCTGCTCAGTGTAGTAGTATCCTAGAGAAGAGCCTTCTGTTACTGGCTCATGCTGAGTGGTCTGACACCAGCGTGTCCTTCAGCACCTGGCAGTGTCAGTTGTAATAGCAGCCTTTGGCAGTAAGTTAGTGACCTGGGCAGGTGCACCATTTCTGGAGGCTTGTTATTCTTACTGTAGCAGTGTGATTTTTTTTTTTTTATTTTTTTTTTTTGTGCTGTGTAGCAATCAACTGCTGCTGAGGCTTTAATACTTCCAAAAGTATCACTTATTTTCAGTGATATCTTTCTGAGTATATCATTACTACTCCCACCTTTATATCTCTCTTTGACCCCGAGCAGCAACTGCAACTCACTCCTGTATGGCTGGGAGAGCTTTTGCAGCCAACAAACCAAAGTGGAATATTGGAAGTGTAGGGTTGCTTGCTACAGTATTCTTAGTTTGTTAATTACTTGTAGACTTAGGCAACCTTTGCTCTGTTGTATAGCTAAAGTTCTCGTTGCCTTGATGGGTTTGAGGATGACAATTCAATTTCAGAAATAATAAAGAGCACACTTGAGTCATGCTTTGTGCTTCTTCATCTACTTCAGCTGAGAGTATCATGTGCAACATAGCTGTGGTTCAGCTGCTTTCTCTAGACCCTGGAGTGACAAGTGTTTGCTATTAATAAGCACAAAATGCACTTGTAAGCCTACTTATTTGTCAGCTCTGAGGCAAAATGGTGTCAATGCTGGAAGAAGTGTCTCCCATCAGGCTGTTTCTTTCAGTGCTGCAGTTATGCTGACGCTGGGGGTGTCACTTCTGTTAAAACCCGGTGTATTGTCAGCTTTGCTGTTCCTAGATGGGCACTAATGAGGACAGTTCCCTCAGCGCTAGAAAAGGCTGAGCTCCATGTTGCTCAGTTTCCAGCAGCAACAGGATACACTTAGAAATCCAAGCCTAATGACTAGAAACTTCCCTTTGCAGCCTTTAGATGTTAAAAACCTTTGGAAAAGGGGGAGAAATACATTTTTCATGTCAGAAATCAACAACAGAGGTGCTACTCTGACAAAGTGTGAGTAACAGGGTAAGGAGTTGGTGAATCCTGGCTCTGTAAAGGGATCATTGAAAAACTGCTGTTCCTGCCCCAGTTAGAACAGGAACAAAATACTGCTGAACTGCCCCATCTTGTCTCTTCAACAAACTGCCTCTGCAACAAACTTTCTCTTATGCTGAGGTGGAAGGTTGCTAATCTCAGCTTTGTTAGGTGCAGTAAGGGGGAAAAGTATTTTCACCAGAACTGGACTTACAAAGATGGTCTCACTGATTGATTTCATTTGGATTTAACATGTGTTTTACTACAGCCTTTCTATCAATGCCTGCTGTCAGTGATAAAGGAGCCTGAGAGGGAGAGCCTGTGACCTGCTCCTGCTAAGTGCAGGCTACATCCTGAACAGCACATAAGAGCAGGAGCGGATCTCATCCCACCAACAGTTGTAAAACTGGGAGAGCAGAGGCACATACACATGCAGAATTACAAACCTTTCTTCCTACAAAAACCGCTCCAACTTATGCAGACATAAATAAAAGCTTCACAGCTGGAACAGATGTAAAAGTAGCACTCTCACTGATCATTTCTGGATCCCTCTGCTATTACAAGACATCCACGTACTTTGTCAGGAGGAATTAGGGAGCTTTTTTGTTTCCTTAATGCACAATCTATCAGACTGTGGTTTTTACCCCGCTGAGTTAAACCTGAGTGAGAACTGAGTACGAACCCTGTGCCTTATCTTGGTATCTTTCTCAAGGGAAAACAATCCCCAACCTTCACAAGCTCTATTGTGTACCACTCAAAAATGGGTTGTTGTGCCACCTTTACAGGATCTTGACTCTGTACCTTCCACCTCCTGGTGCAAGTTTTGTGGTGATCCTATTTCAGAACTGAAAGGTAAACCTGCATCTGTTATTTCAGAGTTTTGTATATTTACAGCTATCAAAAGCAGCCATAAACAGATGAAGGTACCCAAATGGAGTACAAATGTACGTAATTTCAGTGTAATCTGCATTGCCCCATTTTAACTACAATGACCAAGCTGTAAGATCCCAGCCTTACAGTGGACCAAAGTAGGTTTCCTGTCAGTGATTCATCTTTGTCATGGTCTAACCCTTTATTCTGAAGGGCAGTTACACTGCAATCCAGATTGAAGAAGTCACAACTATTTTGGCACACAACCAACTGGACTTTTAACAACAGTACTCATTGTATGTTTATTTTAAATGCTGCCTGAAACTCTGCTTAAGGGAAAGCAAAAAAGCATTAAGGCAGTACAGTATTTCACATACATATTTCTGCAACTTAAACAGTTGAATAAATATTTTATCAGTCCTAGTTTTCACAACGGAAGTAACTTCTGGTCACTGTTGTGAAGTCTGAACTTTGCTTGATCTTTCTTTTAGACCCAGCAGTTCTGTTCTCAGTTCTCCAGGCTTAGGAGGTATTTCAGGTATGCTCTATTAAAAACAGAGAAAGACATCAGTGTTGTGGCAGAAGAAACACTAAACTCACAAAACAGTAAAGGATCACACTCTGTAAGAGCATTATAGCTAAACTATGATTATACTGCCCTCTTCTTTGAACAGAGTATAATTCCTATACGCAAAACATCTTAAAAATTATTACCTTTTTGTAATTTGACTTTTATTTTAAAATAGCAAAATATAATTGGGAAAACAAAAAAGAAGGTAAAAGAAAGAATTAACAGTTTCATTTAAATGAACAAAGCTGCTTTTTTGCCATTAAAGAAAGTAAGCTTGGTAGAGATGTCTAAAACAGTTGAAGTTTCCACATATACTCTTTCTCTTGGTGACAGAAGACAATGTCTCACTGCCTGTACCTTCCTGATTTAGGAATTAAGCATTGAAGCTGAAGAGGAAATTTAAAATTAAAAAAAAGGTACCAGGTGACATGACATTTCAAGAACGATACCTCCTCAAAATTGGTCCTACTTTAGGGATATAGATCATTTGATCATTCTGTAATGAAGGCTACAGTAGAGACTACTAAAATACATAAATTCTTATGCATCTATCAATGATTTAAGCCTCATTGCTTAAATTTTGAAGTGACAGCTCAAGCGTGGTAATTTTTTTAAACTTATTTTCCATTTGAAAATAGCACAGTGAATTACAAAAATCAAGAGCAGGAGGGTGAGGGAAAACTTACAAGTCAGGCCTCCAACGGACTAAATCATTAATATTCCTGGTGGATTGTTTCATTTGAAGTTTATTTCTGTGACTGTAGTTTTGACAGCCTTGCCTGTTGTCATTTCTAAAGTCAACTTTTGGTTGTCTTCAAGTACTCACGGAAACAAAGTCTATTTAAATCTAGCACAGCCCCTTCTCACCACTTTTGAACGCTCTTTTCAAAACCCAGCTTCCTACAGCGGAGACCCCTTTTGAAGGGGGTTACACAGCTTTTATTTTTGGTACCACATCAATAGAGGGGAGGTGGCTCCCCAGAGAAGTCACAGAATCCCAGAATTGTTAGGGTTGGAAGGGACTTCTGGAGATCATCCAGTCCAACCCCCATGCCAAGGCAGGGTCACCTGGAGCAGGTGACACAGGAATGCATCCAGGTTGGTTTGGAATGGAGAGAGGGAGACTCCGTGACCTCCCTGGGCAGCCTGTTCCAGTGCTCTGCCAGCCTCAACGTGAAGTTCTTCCTCATGTTGAAGGGAAACTTCTGCTTTAGTTTACGGCCATTGCTGTTCATCCTGTCGCTGGGCACCGCCGAAAAGAGTCTGGCACCATCCCCTTGGCACCCGCCTTTGAGATATTTATAAACAGGCCCAGCTCCCACAGTCTCTCCTTATAAGAGAGATGCTCCAGACCCTTAATGATCTTTGTAGCCTCCACTGGACCCTCTCCAGTAGCTCCCTGTCTTTCTTGTCCTGGGGAGCCCAGACGGGGGCAGAGCACGGTCCCGGCTGCCCGGATGGTGCCCCTGCAGAGGCCGATCTCTGTGCACAGCCAGGCCGGACGTCTCCCGGGGGCAAAGCCCCTCCAGCAGTCCCTCCATCCCGCACACACGCCACCACCGACCGGGTCCCTGCGAGCACTTACAAGGTCCGGCCGGTAGTACCTGTGCACGACCTCGGCCCCCGCGAACATGGCCAGCATGCTGGCGGCCAGCGCCCGCAGGTACGTGGGCCAGGGCACGCCGGCGGGCATGGCCGGGCCGGGCACTCCGCGCACACCGACCGCGCCGGACGTGCGTCATCGCCACCGGCGGCGGGGCAGGGAAAAAGGAAAAGGGAAGAGGGTGTGGAGTCCCGCCCCTCGCGCAGGAGTATCGCGGCAGCGCGCGGTAAGTCGCGACAGAACCCCCCGCACCCCCCGGGGCACGGGGCCCCCCTGCCCGGCCCCGCCCTCCGCGCCCATTGGCCGGCGCGGGTCACGTGGTGCGGGGCCGCCCGGCAGGTCGGTCGGGGCGCCGAGCGGGGGGAGGGGGCGGGGGGCGAGCGGCGACAGTCGCGGCGGTAGCGGCGGTGACAAGGACAGCCCCGCCCGCCATGGAGCCCCAGGAGCTGGGCAGGTACCGCCGGCCGCCCGCGGCCGCGCTCGGGCCTCGCGGGGAGGCCGCCGTGGTCCTGCTCCTCCTGCTCGCCCACGTCCCGCGGGCTGCGGGCCCGCGGCCGGGCTGTGGCGGCGCCTCCCGCCCCTTGCTCGGCACAAAGGGGAGCGGAGAGCGGGGCTCGGAGGGGCCGGGCCCCAGGGGGGGAACGGGGCGCTGGGCCGCGATCGTGGCTGCGTCCCGAGGGGGAGCTGAAAATCGTTCCTTGCTCGGGTTTGTTCCGAGTATTATTTAATACTTGTTTTGTGAACAAATCTTCTCTACCCTTCTTTTAATTTTTCTTTCATTTTTAGCATGAACTGAAGGCGGGGGGGGCGTAGGGCGAGGGGGAATAAATCACTACCTTTTCCTCGTGGAACTGGAAATATTTATTCAAATGTCCCATGACATTTTGTTATGTTTGTTATACATCAATAACAAAGAATTGTATTTCTGAACCCACGCGCAAGAAATGTGGCCTAAAATGTGTAGGAAACTTAGAGGTAGGGATAAAAGTTCTGTTTCCTCTCATTAGTAAGTGGTTAGAGGACTTGTTTGTGACATGGCGCGAATTTTCTCTCTATGTAAAGGAAATTTTATTCCCTTTCCAAGAAGGATACTTTATAAAAATAAGGCCTGTATTACAAGAAGGCATCTGGTCTTGGTTTCACATCTTTGTTACTCACTCTGTTCTGCTCTGCATGATTAAGCTTTTATTACTTTTATGAACTGGATTCTGCATGTCTCAGTTGTATTTCCCAACACAAATCTGAAGATCAGTTTGGTTTGGTTCAGTAGCTGCACAAGTATTTTATATAAAATGGAACTCTTCCAGCAGAGGGGTTAAAGTATTCACAGTACTCTGAGAATCTCCCATGACTTTATTAGGCAACTTCCTCAGGAATCTGACAGACCTACGTTCATATTTATTCTCCTTGATTCAGGACAGGTATTTTGGTTCAAAATCAGTGGCTTGATCATAAGAGTGTGGGCTGTTCTGGTATAAATCTGATTTACAGTGGGATTCTTAAAAATTCATTGTGTAGTAGTGAATGGTCCCTTCTTTTGAGATATTTAGAATTACAGAATCATTTATGTTGGATAAGACCTCCAAGATCATTGAGTCCAACCATTAACCCAGCGCTACCAAGCCCACCACTAAACCATGTCTGTAAGTGCCACATCTACACAGCTTTTAAATACTTCCAGGGGTGGTGACTCAACCATTTCCCTGGGCAGCCTGTTCCAATGCTTAACAACCCTTTCCATGAAGAAATTTATTCTAATGTCCAATCTAAGGCTCCCCTGGCACGACTTGACGCTATTTCCCCTTGTGCTGTTGCTTGTTACTTGAGACTGACCCCCACCTGGTTACAACCTCCTTTCAAATAGTTGTAGAGAGTATAAGGTCCCCCCTGAGCGTCCTTTTCTCCAGGCTAAACAACTCCAGCTCCCTCAGCTGCTCCTCAAGACTTGTGCACTAGACCTTCCCCAGGTCCGTTGCCCTTCTCTGGACACGCTCCAGCACCTCAGAGTCCTTCTTGTAGTGAGGGGCCCAAAAATGAACACAGGATTTGAAGTGTGGCCTCACCAGTGCTGAGTACAGGGGGTTGATCACTGCCCTGGTCCTGCTGGCCACGCTATTTCTGATACAGGCCAGGATGCCATTGGCCTTCTCAGACAAATATGTCTATGTCTATGTCTAAAAATTATTTGGTGTTTTTGTTGATAGCTTTGAGATGATAAAATTATTTCCTGAAAATTTACTGTTCACAAAATCCTTTCTATGTATTTTTATAGCAGCAGAATCTATGGCCAAGCAAATGGCTGTGTAGGTAGAAAGGAGTGACAGTATAAAGCAGAATTTTGCGTTGGGGTGTGAGAACTGTATGTGACTAATAAATGTGTGGAGGAAGAAAGCTGTATATGGAAAAATGTCTTTATGCATGGAAGGAAATTGAGTTTGTGTGTATGTGAACACTTCCATGTAGAATAAGTGCAGTATTTTGTGTTGGGATCCAGTGTGTGATAACTGGACAACATCTGCTACACAATTTGTTAAAGCTGTTTAATTATCTGCATAGTAACAAAGGCTCTGTGTGTTCTTCATGCTTGATAGCCCAGAATGATTCATCCATTCTGGATCTTACCAGATCAAGTAAACGTTGCAACATAAAATCTAAAATTTGGGAAACTTGAAGTCCAAAGAGTTTTAACTCACATGTGTTGTAAATTGCTGATGTGTTTGATAGTTTGCTTTGGAAGTGTGTGCTACAGAGTGTTTTTCCTGAAAAAAAGGGTAAAGCTCTACACTTCACTTCCCAATGTTGTGTTAATTCCACATTATAGTAATCACAAGAACTGTACTGTTAACTGATACCAGCTCAGCAGCCGGACTGCTTCATGGATTTGGATAATTTACTTCCTTGTTAATAGAGTCATTGGAGAATATAAGTGCGATACATGCCAGCCTTGATAAAGTTTGATTTTTATGGTCTGTACAGTACATCACCAAGTTTCTAAATTGTTGACAAATTATGTCTCTTTCCTCTCCCTCCTAAGATACTACGCATATCTTCAGCAAGCTCAAGCATTTTACTCGTTTCCATTCCATCAGATGATGACTGCAGTGCCCAACATGGAAACGATGGCTGAGCAGCCGACTCTAGAGGGCATTCCAGAGCCAAACATTGCTCAGGAGCCTCCGAAAGGTAGATTGACTGGGCTGTGCTAAGAGAGCTAAAACAGTAGTAATTGATTGGGAAAAAAATATTGCTCTTAAACTGCTTTTTTGGACATATTGGGTTTCCTTTTCTTGGTGCTGTCTGAGGAAGTATTGATTAATTGTATTCTTTAAGTAACGTGTTTTAACAGATAATTAAAAAGACAAGAAGTAAACCCAGGTGAATGTACTCAGGTTGTTCAGTCTCACACAATTATCTTGTTCCAGGAAAAGCAAAATTTTGTTTCAATAGATAAATGCATAATTTTTAGCTAATGTCATGGGGTTTAATATTATGTTAGAGAAGGTGGATTTTAAAAACTCTGAGTTCAAAAATTTTTTTTTTAAATTTCTGCAAGAGAAGTACAATATAATACTGTTTATTTGAAATATTTTTGTTTAAATGGTTCCTTAGTGTGTTGTAGTAGTCCTAGGTAGGGAATTGGTTGTATAGACTAAAAATCACTTGGTTTAGTGCAGCTCATTTAAACAAGATGCAAACAGTGCTGGAAAGTGTCCTGTACATGACACAAGTTTTGTACTCTCTGTACTTGTGTGTTGCCTTTCTTTTCACCCCTTAGGATTTTGTACACTTAGTCTTTGCAGTAGCTATGCCAAGGGGATATCTGTTGTTCTGTTGCTGTGCTCACTCTTAGGACATAAAAAAGCAGTGATCTCTGCTATGCCTAAATTCTGATTCAGTAGCCAATACTCACACACAGTGTTTCACCTTACTTTAATATTTAGATACAGCTCAGAGCTCTGTGTACCAATGAAACTTATCAGCCAGTTCATGCAATGACATTGCTTGTTTAAATGCATCCTTTGATAACCATTTTTTTTTGTTAAAGTTGTAATGGGTGGCCAGATAAAATCATAGGAGGAAAACCTCTAGTTTAAAATAGTTGTGACTGCTCAATTCTGTCACAGTATTATTCATTTCAGTTAGGCTGCATCTCAAGTGCTGTGTAGTCAGTCTCTTGCAGTTTTAGTATTGGATAACAGTGTCACCGTGAGCACCCTGTTTGACTGCACTTGCAAGTATTTTTGGACAACTGTGATCGTCTGTTAGGAAGCTGTTCCCCAGTGTTGTTTTTTGCAAGAACTGTAAGCTGAGTAGGGCCTTCAAAGATGGGGATGGAATATTTATCAAATATCTGTGAAATTTACAGGAACATATATGAAAGACAAAGATTTGGAGTCCAGCTACTGCTGTGATGAAAATAGTAAGATTTCTAGGATTATCCTCTGAAAGGCTGCCCTGGCATTGTTCATCTTCCATGACAGTGTCTGGCTGGTAGGTACCTGATCAGTGTGAGAGTTAGAAAAACATTATCCTGCTTCATTTAAAATATTCTCACTGCTCTGAGTTGGAGCATTATGTGGCATTATGCTGTCACATGAAAAACCTTCTAACTCTTCAAGAGGTAGAAAAGAAAAGCTGTTTATGTGGCTCACCAAATCTGGACCCTTCTGTTCTCTTCATTGCAACTAGACTAGAGCTTGAGTACTGTTACTTAAAGCTTCCCTAAGCAGTTGCTGCAGTGATGCCCTGGGAATTGCACGTGATTTTTGTTTTCCCTTTTGTTTACACAGCTTTCTTACAAGAATAGCTCCTAAAAAGTTTGCAGACTTATGGCAGTGGCTGGGTATCTACCATAGTTATTTCTTATCTGAGGGAGATTTTCATCTATGAATTTTGAAAATAAGATGAAGTCTCAGTTTTAAAGTAATAGATTACTTTGTCTATTTAGCAGCTAATTGCTGCTAGATATGTTTTCATATTTTTCAATTTTGTGTTCTACAGCTTGACATTATTAATGAACATAGAGATAGAAAGCACTCTCTGGGTGGTCATGTCATGGCTAGTACCTGTGCTGCTTGAATCTCTACATTCTAAGAGCCAGAAGATGAGGAAACTTCCAATGAGTGAACAGTGACTACTTCATGTTGGCATTTTGTAAATAAAAATGAATGTTTGGTGTCACTCAGATTGAGATCCTGCATTACCTTGCTGAATGCTGCCCTGGACAGTATCTGTTCTGGAAGCAGTGTGTGAATGTTTGTGAATGCAGCAGTGTGTGGATAGCTTATGTAGCATTCAGCCTCTGTGCTTGTGTTTCTGACAAGTTCATACCTGACACTGTGGGTAGTCCTTGAACCCTTTTGTTTTTGATGTGCGGTTTGGTTTCTTCAAGATGTTATGTCACCTGTAACATTCAGCTTTCATATTTAGAAACTGAAGGGTGGATAGTTGACTAGAACTTACTGCAACATTCTTTGGAACCTAAGCTTTGATGCTCTGGCATTTCCTCCAAAAGAAATGAAACTGTTTCCAAAGGACTGTGGCATAAAACATGTAAACAACATAACCTAATCATGGAGTTACTCTTGATTTGTATCCCAAGTCAGTGTAGTTGTCTGAGAGTGGTGTGTTTGTGCGTGGTACAGAGACACCTAAGCTAGCTCTGTGTTGAGCCTGCAAAACCGAAATTCATCTGGTAATTGTTTAAATTAGTGAATTTTGAAGGTAAACTTATCTTTTTGTATCCATACATTTAGCTGAGTCTTTTTGACACTGCAGCATTAGAAATGTACAAAAGGAATATTTACTTTGTGTTTCAGAAGTTAAGAAAGGAGGAAGAAAAAGAAAAGCCAAAGCAACTGAGCCAAAGCAACCCAAAAAGCCTGCTGCTAAAAAAGAAAAACCAGCCAAGTCAAAAGGCAAACAAGAAAAGATCACAGATACTTTTAAAGTCAAAAGGAAAGTGGATCGTTTTAATGGTGTATCTGAAGCTGAACTTCTGACCAAGACCTTGCCTGATATTTTGACCTTTGATCTGGACATTGTAATAGTAAGTAACTCAGAGTTACAAGATTAGGTAGAAAAGTCTTGTACTTGTTACAATTTACGTTCCTTCTGCTGACTTATCTATATTGCTTATATGGCAAGATCTTGCAAGATAAAGTATATAAACTGTTTCCTGTGTGTAGAGCTGCTTTGCCTTTTTTGTTAAAAGCCATAGTAGCATAGTCTTAGTTTCTGAGAAATCTAAGGTTTAGGTATGATACAGAGTCGTGAGAGACCGTTACTCGATGCTTTTTTTACTGGAAGCTGCACACTGTGAGCTGCCCTTTTGACATTGCACAGCTAAATGAGGCACTGCTGTAAAATTGTCAGGCTTTTTAAATAACGATGGAAGGTGCCATTAACACAGTTTTGTTTGTTGATAGTAACTTAGAGAGAATTGAATCAAGCATCCTTACTGTAACTTGATTAAATTGCTGACTACAAGCCATGTTCTCATTGTTCAAATGGACTGATCATCTTTCTAGATTGGCATAAACCCTGGCCTGATGGCAGCTTACAAAGGACATCATTACCCGGGACCTGGAAACCATTTTTGTACGTTTTCGTTTTCCTTTCCTCTTTTAGAATTTGCAGAACTTTGTTAGAATTTGTGGTATTTTAATTAAACTGGTTTGGGTTTTGTTTTTCTCCTGATTTTCTTTTGTTTTGGATGCAGAGAGGGATTTTGCTTTTAACCATCCAAGAGTGATTTAAATCCCATAAGTACTTCTGTCAAATACTGTACATAAAAAGGAATAAAAGAGAAATAATCAGCAACTTTAGGGGCAGGTTTAGAATTGTCAGGCAAACACACTGTTACCAAATACCTTATTGTTGTATTAGTGTGCAACTTAAGGAATAAAAATTAAATCTCTAGTACTTCAATTATCAAGGGTGAGTCAATAAGCATCAATTTCTGATGTAAAATAAGACTACAAGCATTATCAAAAAAATGTATTTCACCAAGCCCTCTTCTGTTTGCATTTATTCATCCATCTCTTCTTTAGAAGCTTTCTAAGTGATGAAAAAGCAAAGCCAATTGCCATTTCCCAGCAGACATGTGCATCTGGCATACCTGATTCTCCAGACAGCTGTTTTGTCCTAAATATTTTTCCATTTTCAGTAGCATTTGCTGCATCATGTTCTCATAAAGAAAGATCCTACCTGAACTCTGAAATGCTCAGTTCTGCATATAGGAGCTGTGGTGGTGGGAGGGAGCTCCACATGGGCTAATTGCAGCCCTGTGATATTCCAGTCAAAACATTCCTGGTGCCCAGCAGACCCAAAACCAGGCTTGGGTATTTCTCTAGTGTTCTGCAGCCTGGTCAGACTGATCACCTCCTTTACTGAGAAGCAGGCCAGCTATGCGTGCTCTGGCAAATCCAGGTGTTTGTAACCTTCCCAAATCATTGGGAGCTACCTGGCGTGGGTTTGTGCTGGCACTGCACATCGCCCAAACTCTACTTTTATGTGCTAAATATGAATGTGAGATGTCAGCAGTTCTGTCGGAGAGGCTCAGGGCAAGGAGGAGTAATGGCAAGCTTGTAAAAGAAAGCTGACACATTGTATTTGCCACATTCTTTCCCACGGAATCCATATTGATCACATTCGCTCCCTACTTAAGTGAGTCACAAAATCTAAAGCTCTGTACTGAACTTTTAGGATAAAAGACTGGTTTCCATACAGAGGATCATGATGAGGAATTCCTGTTCACTAGGGCTTTTCTGTTCTCTTGCAGTAGATACAGTAATAATCGTTATTTTAAACTTTTCTAGATAGGGCAATAATCTTCCCAAATTATCTGATGCTTTGTTAAAATAGATTCTTCCTTTAGCATTCCAGTATTCTGACAGTTGAGTTTTTTCCATTGTGCTTTCTCTTCCTTAGAAATAGGCAAATATGTATCTACCTTCTTACTTCACAGGGAAGTGTCTGTTCATGTCTGGTCTAAGTAATGAACAACTGAACCATATGGATGACCACACTTTGCCACATAAATATGGGATTGGATTTACAAACATGGTTGAAAGGACAACACCTGGAAGCAAAGACCTCTCCAGGTAGGGCAGCAAGGGGGAATATATATCATGCTTGTTAATGAATTAATAGTTGTGATTATAATTTTGAGTACCTTCTCTTTCAGCAAAGAGATTCGGGAAGGAGGGCGAATTCTGATGCAGAAGCTACAAAAGTATAAACCTCGTATAGCAGTTTTCAATGGAAAATGTGAGAACCTTGACTTTTAAATTAATTTGTTCTGTCAATAGCTTTATTTTTCTTCACACTTATCCTATCTTTTTCTTATTTTAGGTATTTATGAAATTTTTAGTAGAGAAGTTTTTGGAATTAAAGTTAAGAACTTGGAATTTGGACTGCAGCCACACAGAGTGCCAGATACAGAAACTGTGAGTATTGAGACTAAGAAACAAAACCAGGGTGCTCCATTTAAAAACTAACAAAATCTCAGGACTTGCATACACTTCTGACAGTGAACCAAGTACATTCTGATAATGACCAAAGTACAAGAGGTATGAAAGGCTTTTACCTAAATAGAGAAAGGGGGATAGTGCAATTTTTGGACACATCTTTCTTGCAGCTTCTTCAGACTTGCAGATTTTATTTGGGAAATGGTGTATTATGATTAGTTGGTTAGTGCATTCTCTGACAACTGTCTAAAGTATGAATAATACCTGCATGCTTTTGTGATAATTTTAATCTGATTCCTTGTGTCCAATTTGCTGGATATTTGTATTATTGAACTTTAATACTGAACATGACCATGGTGGTGGTAGTGCCACTGTGGGGCAGAAAGAACAGCAAGTCCATCACTGTGCTATTACACACAACCATTACAGCATTACAGGAGCTGGGCATGCCCAAGCACTGCCATCAGTCTGGACCTCCTTAGGCTGATTTGCAGTTTGAAGTTCAGTTGGGTGCTGAAGATAAAACAAACAGTTTGATGAAGAGTGCATTAGTCACAGACTTCTAGTGCTGGAAAGTATCTCAATAGACCAGCTATGTATCATCAGAAATAGGTTTGTTTAACGTGTTCTTATAAACAGGTTAGGGCAAAGGCAATTACACTACCTGCCGAGGTAGCTTATTCTAAAGCTTCATTACCTTGTCAGTTCAGAAGTTTGGATTGTTTTTCTTCTTATTTCTGTCCCAAATTACTAGTGCTGCAAGTTTAAACTGTCTTCCTCTGAAGGTGAAGTGTTGCCATTAGAGCCTGAAGAACTGTTGTTGATAAAGTGCTTGCTTTCTTAAGTAGCTCTTAAAGACTTCTGCAGTAGATGTATTTGTAAGAAAGATAAATAATCCCCTTTACTGGTACTTGTTCATAAATACTGCATGGTGATAAAAGGATTGAACAGTTTGTTTTTGCTCAACTAACTTGATGTCTTTAGTTAAGGCTGTTGGCAGAGGCAGAGACACTTGAGTTGGCTCCAACCATACTGACTAACTGCAGTTTCACACCCTGGCATGTGTGCTGTGGATGCTCTTGGCCCAGAAGCCAAGCTAATTAACCCGTGGTGCCTCCCTTACTGGTGTGGGCTGTTTGCATGCTGCCACGTACTCCTCTGTGGACTGTCTGGCTCAGGGCTCTGCTTGCTCAGGGAGCTCTGCAGTGTACTCCACTCTCTGGCACACACTGCAAATTTCTTGTACCACACACTGGTACTGCTTCTCCTGCAGCACATAAATAACTGGTGAAAATTGTCCTCACTTTGGCAGCTGATAATTGGCTCCTCTCTTCAGGGCATGACAGCTGACTGGACAAGAAAAATTAAAGACTCCTTTTAGCCCCTTCCACGACCACCTTTGGCATTAGTTGAAGTTTGTACAAAGGGTTAAAGCAATGGGCTTAACTGTTAAGTCGTTCTCAATGCACTAAATATTAACTCATAGCTCAATAATGCTGTTTTTCTTGCTCTTTGTCTCAAGCTCTGCTACGTTATGCCATCGTCCAGTGCAAGATGTGCTCAGTTTCCCCGGGCACAGGATAAAGTTCATTATTACATAAAGCTGAAAGACTTAAGGGACCAACTGAAAGGCATCGCACCAAACACAGACGTGCAGGAGGTGAAGTATACATTCGACTTGCAACTTGCACAAGGTACAGTGCTTATTTTGTTAACCCTTTATTAAAATGCAGTGTAGTGTACAAGGCAACTAGAAGTTTCCCAAGCAAGAAAGAAATAATCAATTTAATGGGGGAAGGGAGGCAGATGTGCCATCTTTTATAAACTGTGTTGTGTAGAATTACAGATTCCGCTCTCTTTACAGTACAGCCTAAATTCTATAAGGGGAGCAGGGGATTATCTTGTAGAATTTGTGGCTGTTTTTCAAGTGTTTTCTGATAAAAGTGCTCTTTGATAATATTTGTTCTAAATATTAATACTTGAGGTGTTTTGTTTCTGCAGAGGATGCTAAAAAGATGGCTGTCAAAGAAGAAAAATATGACCCAGGCTACGAAGCAGCGTATGGAGGAGCTTACTGTGATCGTGCTCCGTATGACAGTGAGCAGTGCAGCTTCTCTTCCAATGGAACGGGTAAAGTGCAGCGCTCTGGGCATTCGGGCTGTGAACCACTGCTTGGGAACAAGGACTCAGGGGTGTCAGCTGCATTTTGTAAACAGTGGGATTTTTGTTTTGTTTCAGCGGGAAGCGATCCACAGTACTGCGAGGGGTCGTCCTTTGGTATAGTTCCTAATGGACAATGGATGACACAGTCCTTTGCAGACCAGATTCCAGAGTTCAATGCCGGTGTGACACAGGAAGAGGAGGGAAGCAGCGTGTAGGGGCTGTTCCTTCTCAGCTATGCATCCATGCTGCAGTTTTAATGCAGTGACCAAGATTGGTACCTCGGTTCTCCAACTGAAGCATTTTAATAGTATTTTATCTCCCCTAGTTATTTTATTATAGTCTAAAGTAAGTGTGTGGTAGGCTGAAATCAATGAACTAGATGATTTTAAGGAACTGTTCAAACTTTTTCCAAAAAAGTTAGCCCTTTTTTGTATATGAGTTTTATATTTAATGTATACCATTTCTTGCAGTTTTTGACAAATTGCTTTCTCATTTGTGAAGATTTCTTTTGGGCGTTAATTTTATTTCATGAATTGTAATGTAGTAGTAACAGCAGCAGTATACTTCTTACTGATGCCTCAATATTTGGATATCTCACAATCCTTGTATATCCAGAGGGGAAAATGGGAAGTGTACCCTTAACTTATGTGAAGCGATATTTTTAATCATGCACAGTTAAGGAAACTGTGCTTTTTAAGTCTGCCTTTTACCTTCTTAAAAAGTGCAGAAAGTTGCACTCTGCAGCTGTGAGTACTGAGTATTTTCTGGGTGGGAAGAGAGAGCTCTGTCTGTTTGGTGAGTGGACCATATTCAGGATTAAGGGAGTGAAGACATCCTCTCAAGTCACAACACTGGGGAGGAAAATTTGTGTCACACAGGACAGGGCCTAAATATTCTAGCTGAGCTGGCTTACGGTAAGATATCCCTACCACTCTATCTCTTTCCCTCTGAAATTCCAATGTAAGGAACTGGAATTCCTTGAAAAAAACCCCAAAACAAACAACAGTGGTGGTTCTTCAATTCTGTAGCATTCAAACACTGTTGTTTCTGTGTGATTAGTCTCTTCACATGACCTTCAGCAGTAGACAACAGAATTCGAACAGATTACATGTCAGGGAATTGAAAGGCTGCATTCTCTGTAAAAGTCACATACAGCTACATTGTTTACATCATGTACAATTAGCACAGGGTGAAAAGAGTTTGCAATTTAGCAGGTTTTAACATTCCATTCTCTTCAATCTGTAGAGGGTGGTCTTCTTATTCCTCTTACAAGCAAAAAATACTGAGTTAAATATAGGAGCAGCTGTTCCATGAATAAGAAGTTGGCTGTAGAAACTACAGCTCTCTTCTGAGGAACTTGCCTAAATTATATACATTTTTAACCAATATTAGTTACTGAGAAAGAAACGAGATTCCATCCTGGTGCCTAACCATCGTCTTCTTTCCCTCCTTTGTCATGTGAGGAAGAGATGAAGTAAAAGCAATAAGCTGATCAAAACACTACAGTTTTGATGATCTTATAATAGTTGGTGCTTCACATACTTGAAAAACAGATACAAACAGTATCTCCGCACTCCGCGTGGGCCAGAGAGTCCTGTAGGGCATGATTTATCCTTTCTTCACAGCCAGCAACGGTTGTCAGTTGTGTGTAACTAGTTAGTGTAGGTTCTAATGTTGCTATAACAGCTCTCACTGAGATCGCACACTGTCAACCTGTTATGAGGCAGGTATGATGTTTACAGTTTTTTCCCAAATTATGTGGCTTAATTCTGAGCGTCTTAAATCAAGAAAGTGTGCATTATGATTCTGATTGTGTTTATTAGCTTCAGCATAAAGCTATTCTGTATATTGTCAGAAAGGTATAGGACTTGTCTGTTATTTAAAGTGTACTGTATCATGTATTGCTGTTTACATGGGTGTTTTCCTGCAGGTGCTCAAAGTATCTTGCATCAGGGATTTGTTACAATTCAATTATTTTATTTTCAACAAAATTGGAACCATGGAATTAGCACTGCTGAGTATGTAGCACAGTAGGATTTAACTCCTGAAAGGCTATCCTCTTTGAGTGGAAGGGAAAGGTGTCTTCTTTAAAGGAGTCACTGGGTACAAAATCTGGTTAAGTCTACAATGACCATTTCACTAAATACTGCAATTCTATGTGTCCTCCCTCAGAACTGGTGCTCTTTTTGTTACAGTAATACAGAAGTTCTTTATCTGTCTTGAATCTATCCATGTTTCACAATAAAATCAGGAATTGTACTACAGTGTCTTGGAATGTGCTTTCACATGTTGCTAGCAAAGGTCTAATTGCACTACAGGATGTGTCATATGCAGAAACACCCCAAAACAGTCACCACTCAACACAACTCTACTCAGTAACATATGCCCAAGATCTCATTTCATGCTTTTCAATGTGGGCCAGACAACTAAAGACACCTTGTGTGTAATACTGCAGGTATCTGCTGGGTAGGTCTTTCTACCAGAAGACGTTGGAGTCTTATTTATAAAGACCTTACATTAAAGTACACTGTCTGCCACCGAGTTTTACCTCTGTAAATGTATAATGAAAATACTTCACTGTCAAGTAAACCTAGTTCCTCACCTTACATGTAAGTCAGGATAATCTGAACCGTGTAATGGTCACTCCAGCCTCCCTCTCAAGCCCTAAGCACACAAAAGTGATGGTCAGTTATTCATATATTTAACAAATACTTCATTTTCTAGAATCAGTTAATCATATTCCTCATATGCTGCGTGTCAAACTATTACATGCATCCAATACACTATGTTTTGCAGTATTTAAGTTGTTTCAGTATCAGCTATCAGGGCGAGTTAATTTGAACTTCCCTGAAGGGTCAGGAATAAACCAGTTTTCCCACAGATCAGTGTGGACACTGGGATAGTCCCAAGGTTTGTATCTCCCATTCCAGTGAAGTAACTTAGCTTCTTGAAGAAATTGCTCTGAGTAACGGGCATCAGGACTCCAACCTGCATGGGTAGATTAAAAAAAAAAAAAATTAAAAAATCCAGTTTTTAATAAAGGAAAACACTATAGAGTGAGTTAAATTCGGGTGATTTTTTTTCAGAAGTCTTATTAGTATGTTTTCATCAGATAGTTGTATGATAGAGTAGCTTTTTTTTTAGCTTGATGCCTCTAATGCTGCATCAGCAAAAAAATTTCAGCAAGTTTCTTCTCTCAACACTTTTATTATCCTGGCATAGCTGGGATTAAAACCAAAATCTATTCATTTTACCACACCAGCTAAGACATTATGTTTTTCCTAGGATAATTCACTCCCAGGTAAAAGTTAACTGCATCATCCAGAATGTTGACAACAAATGCTGCCCAGCCTCCCATATTCTTCCACTGCACCTAGAAAAAACTGATTTTTTTCAGATCTTTCACGTATTCTTTCATAGCTGATGGCAGTATAGGTTAGCTGGTCTTTAAACATGTAACTTTGCCCTTGGTATTTGGGTCTTTTTCCTTTTTTCATCCAATTCCATAACTACTACGTGTTTGGGTTTTTTGCAGGGATGCAAATATGTTGTTTGCTTGCCCTGTTAGGATACTTGCATCCGACTCCCACATTCTGCCCTGCCCTAAAGAAAGCAGGACTCATGAGCCTTGAGGGAAGTGGGGATTACGTGCTGTGGATCTGAGGCAAAAAGTAATGCCTGAGGTAAAGTAATGTAAGGTCCTTCATTGGGATCTTACAAACCGCTCACTTTAGTTCCAACTTGGAAACAGTGAGAAGTTAAACTTACCAAGATGCCTTATGTGCCACATAGGATTAATAGAGGAATACTTTCCATGAAATACAATCAGCATTGGAGAGGTTGCCACGCCTCCCCCAAGGGTGCTGCTGTAGAGGTTTTCCCTGCAAAAGGAAAAATAAAAGAGTATGTTCAAAACCTCAAAGAATTTTTAGCACAAAAGGCAGAAGATTAAAAAATAAGTATTCTGGTAAAATTGAAAATCATTTTGAACAGGCCAGTTTTCAGCAGACTCCTTCCTTATGCTGTTAAGTGATTGTATTTGTAACTCCAATTCCCACAGAGTAAATTGTTGCTACCAAGAAAAATTGGAGTCAGACCCACCATGAAGTCAGTTTCCTCTACACACAGCCTGTAGTCCTCAATAATGACAAAGTTAACTATAGAAAAGAAAGCTGTTAAAGGAATCAAACATAATTTAGCCTGGTTTCTTAAGAAAATGTACATATTTCCATGTTTTCCATTCCCTTTCTTTCCCTTTTCCCCTCCCGCAGCTTTTAGACCATAAATTAACCTCTGGTCGGATTTTGTCAAAGCCTAGTTAGCATAAATTAGAATATTAGTTTCCTATGAATTTTGTGCTAAATCCAGGGCTAGATCAAGCCTAATCATGGTAAGGGGAGGCATTAGGAGGTGGCAACCAGATGTCTGTCCACATGTGCTGATGGCCCTGCTGACCAGTTGGCACATGGGCAAAGCCACCCCACCTATGAGACACTGTGCCACCCACCTAGTCCAGTGGGGAGGAAACCTGGGAAGTACAGAGAGGTGCTGAAAGGCCACAGAACAAAAAAATCATAACCTCCCCTCAAAACTGAGTTTCAATTGATAAGCAATTTTTTTCACTGCCATTTCAAAATCCAGCTACAAGGAGCATGAATGTGTTACTAAGGCACAAAATCAACTTTATAGATCAAATTTGCAGTAATATGGAGTTCTCACTCTTAATATCTCTTTAAAATCACAGCAACAGCTTGTCAGGATATGTTACATAAGTAGAGTAAGAGAAAAATATTCGGCTTCTCAGTCAATTCACATACTTCTCATTTGTGTCCCTCATCTGTTCATTTCTAAAACTAACAAGTAATGGACACAGCCCAACAGCACAAACTACTCAGTGGCAGTTTAGCCTTACTAAATTGAAATTCAATCCTTTGCAGAGTCAAGTTTTCAAATACAAGTTAACAGGGAACTAATGTAAATAACGAATGGTGATTGTTTCACTGTGTTACGACTTATTCATGGACAATAACAAAAATATATCTTTCATGTCAAATTTCCTTCAACTAGAGAAAAAGAAGTCTTTTCTACTGGTATTAAAAAGAAAAAAAAAGATGGTGTCCAATTATAGTTTGGCTGATGCTACAATAGGAGAGTCCCCACACAAACAAGGAAAGATTCCTCCTTCTTTCAGCCAGCCTCAGGAAGGGAAGATCATTAAGTGGCTTGATCCCAAGTGAAGTTGGTCACCCAAAATGAGAACCACATGTTCTCAGTGTCCCTCAGGATTATGTGTGGTTTGTCATTAAACACAAGACTAAAATTCCAGCTGGTCATTTCCTGGTACAAAATTGGTCAGATTTAAACAGATGGAAACGCTGGAACAGGAGTTAAAAGAAAGACTGTCTGGAGTTGAAAAAAAACTTTTAAGAGTTTTTAAACAGAAAATAAAACTGTAAACCAAGTATGAAGAGTAAAGTGCAAAGCTAGATTTCTACACATACTCTACATTTCTTTGCATCCACTTTTCCAACTGCTTCGTAATCCGCTGATGTTTCCATTCAGTCATGTTAGCAACAATTACTCCAGGATTAAAGGAGCAGGTGCTGGGGCTGATGCCAAGATCCCTGATGGCTTGCTTTCTGTAGTCCAGGAATCCCATGTACGTGTTCTAAGATATAAAAAAGTATGTTTATCCCCTATGAATCTTTTTAAAGATGTGTACATTCATCTCTCTATCACTGAAAGGGAGACTAAACAGGCGCTCCCAAAGCTGAATTTCTAGATGGTGGTTATGTATAGTGATTTCCACATGACACAAGGCTGAAAGGCAGGATACTTCCAGATACTAAATTAGTTTTTCCACAGTATGGTACAGTGGAAGTTTGATAAGGCTCTTCCCTCACCACACCTTTGTTTTTCAGTAGCTCACACCAAATATGCAGCATCACACTTCTACAGCTGAAATACTAGAGGGATGCACTGACAATTCTGGGGAACTCAGCCCAGGAATTAGTCTTTAAATTGTTTTCCTAGGTTTCATTCCCAATGTGACTAATTCAAATATCATACAAATATCATACAGTCTGTCTTCATTAGATGTTCTATAAATGCTCACAATCTACTGATAGCAAAATACCAAACATAATTTAGTAGAATCCAAAGAACAAGACATATTTAAATTATTACAGGAAACAACTCTGCATAGCACTACAGAGTTACTCCAAAAAGTTCTTAATTACCGGTAAAACTATTACAAAAGTAAATACCTATATATATATATAACTTTCACTTTGGGGAACACCTATGAAATCATCTTACACTTATGGGTAAACAAATTCATTATTAGAATTCCAGAATGGCATCTTACCTGCATCCCTACACTTCTAATCATTTCATGTGTAGAAGGCAGATCACAATCATCTGAAAAAGCTGCAGCATGTCCAGGAGCCAACTTAGTATCGTAGAGTTCCTGGATGTCACCTGATTACAGAAAGGTCAAAAGCATAAAACAACACCTACTGCATTGCTACAGAGTTGACAGGATAACATCCATTCTCATATATGTTACTTATAAACACACTGGTTTTCAGGGATAGCCCAGATATTGATAAAGGCCGAATTTTGTAATATGGGACAATTCTCAAATTTCAGTCCTGCACCTGGATGTCTAAGGTCTATCTTTAAATATTATCACTGGTATTCAATACATTCATATTCTGGTTTGAATGTCCAAAATCACCTACAGCAGAAGCTGATTACACTGTTAAGAAGCCTGGTTACAAAATTCTATATTCACAGAGCTTGCCTTTGGAGAGGGAAAGCACAGGCAATTTTTCTGATCCTCTTCAAGTCCTACAAAGGTGCCACTTCAATCTCTTGCACAGGATCAGGTTTTTCCTGGTATTATTGCATTTATACCTCCTTGTAAGATACCTAGGTTCCCAGCAATGGCTAGTAGAAACATACCTGTCACTCCCGACTATCCCTGCTGGCTTCGCGGACCATCCAGCTCCTTTCTGGTGGAGGGAAATAATGTAATGCCTGGCACCTCACTCATCACCTGACTGGCAGGTACCCACGATGTGCCAGAACAGTTTCAGGGCAGGTGGGAAGCACAGCACTGCCACAGCAATCAAGAGAGCCTGCATCCAAATCCCTACAGCTACCAGCTCTGCTGCTGGGCATGGGTTGGTCACTGCTAAGGTGAATTATCTTGGAAGGCCATGTCCCAGTAGCCTGAGGTGAGCTCATTAAAAGACAAGTAACCAAAAACATTCCCCATACTGCCAACACTGGAACTAGTATTTCTGAAATAAACAGAGATTCTGTATTTGTCTGAACTCACCAGGTGGTTGGAAACTCACGTCCCACCAAAAATAGAATTTGAATTAGTAGGACACTTAATTGTTGAAGATCAGCATGCCTTGCTAAGTGTTTTCTCATGATTCTAAACAGCTGGTGCTTTTCTCTTGAGAAGTAAAAACAAGTAAAAAAAAAAAAATCAAAGCAAAGAATTCTGGGCTGACACCCCAAGTTCAGTATGTTTCATTCTTACCACTTTGCTGAAAGCAACGACCAACAAATAAATGATCCCAAAGTTCAGTCCCATTCTCTCCCTATCCCATGAGAAGTCTCATTCACTCCCATTGCAGACATCTGAGAGAACACAGTCTCAAATTACAGCTAAGACACAGGGAGTAGCTGCCTGGACAGGCTCTCTTCCTCCACCTCACTCCCACATGTCCATCTTTATTCCCTTCTTGTGGGCCCTATGATTGCGTGGCCAAAGGGTGAACAAGACAGGTTGGCCGAAACAAAGGGGAAAAAAAAGATTTAAAAAAAAAAAAAAAAAAAGAAGAGTTTGGTTTCTTCTTTTTTTACATTTTGTGCTGCTAGTCTTCTGCCAGGTCAACCAGCTGAATCAGATTCCTCTGCAGCTGCACAACTGCAGACACGACGTAACAGGAGCTGCCTGGGGGCAGGAGAGGCCACTTGGTCAGCAGCAGCCAACCATGAGCTGTAACGAGAAACTGCACCTTTATCCTGCAGCTCCACAAACACCATCAGCTGACATAAACTGACACCTCTAGTGAAAGAGAAAGCCCTATCTCCCCTCCTCCCCCAGCCACGCTGCCTTGACTGCTACCAGGGGGCTAATTAAGGCTGAAAGTAATCGCGTTTCTGGTAGGTGCAGGGTGGGGTGCAGGGGAAGTGGTGGGCTCAGCTTGAACTACTCATGAAACTGGAGTCTAAATGAAGACTTTCAGAACTTTTCGAAGAGTTAAATATTGCTGTTGCCCATTGATAACAGAACAACAAAAAGCAGAGAAATACCCATGTTGAAGAACTGTGATACGAAGTCTATTGCAAATTAAAATGAGAAAGGCAGAGTGGCTTAGTTGTCTTTTATAAAGCAACATTTAAGTGCAGATGTTCTGAAATCTGTCTCTCAAGAGACAAAATTGGAAAAGGTGTAGAAAAGCAGTGGAGAATTATACTTTTGTCATGTGTAAATTCAGTGGTCTTAATGTTCTTACAGCAAAGACTAATTTAGGGCAACAAGTTTATTGTAGTTATACTCAGTCTTTTCCAAAGAAAATTTTCATTGGAACATTCCTTTAACATTTAACAAGAACAGGTAAAATGATTTTGTTGCCCCTGTGGCCTGGCTAGGATAGAATTAATTTTCTTCATAGCAGCTCATATGGTGTTGAGGTTTAGATTTTTAGCACATTCATGTTCTGGCTTTTGCTGAGCAGTGGTTGCACAGCATCAAGGCCTTCCCTGTTTCTCATTCTGCCCCCCTCAGTGAGTAGGTTGGTGGGTGCACAAGAGGCCAGGAGGGAACACAACTGGGCAGATGATCTGAACTGCCCAAAGAGCTATTCCATGCCACACAATGCCATGCTCAGCAAGAAAAGGGGAAAGAGGGCATCTGGGGTGGGTAAGGAGAGATGAGGTGTAGGTAGCCAGCTTGTGCGTGGGAACTGTCTGGGCATGGATCTGCCCATCTAAGGGGTTTAGTTTTCTTCTCTTCTCTCTTATTCCACTTATCCTTTGCTTATTAAACAATTATTTGTTTGATTGTTTTATCTTGACCCTTTTATCTTCCTCCATCCCACTGGGGGTGGGGGGAAAGTGAGTGAGCAGCTGTGTGGTGCTTAGCTACCCACCAGGGTTAAAGCACAACACCCTGACTAAAAAGTGTTATAAAATAGCAAGAAAATGTGATTATACAGGGGAGAACAACAACTCTAAACAGAAAAAAAACCCTACTGGGAAACAGAACTTAAAAAAAACACTGTTGTTCCTCTGATTAGATTACTTTGTATGATAAGGAAAAAAATTTTTTTTCAGGATTGGAATATCTTCTAACTGTTCCCATTTGTTTAAGAACTCTGAGATCTTTGATCATGACTCTGCAAATTGCTTTGGATTCTGAGCTGAAGATGCTCAAATCATATTTTGAATGTTTGGAATTTTAATCCTCTTATTTGAGTAAATTCCTTTTGCTCTCAAGAACAGCAATTCTGGATAAGGAATTGGTAGCATGCGGGGGAATTCAAATACTAGCAGGAAATGCATGTCACATACTTAATAAATATTGCAGCACCTGAGTGAAATCCATTGCATCATTCAGGAATTGACCAGAATCAATTACAATGAAACCCACATACAATTTCGATCACAATTATTCAAAACATATGCAGATAAGTTCTTCTTCAGACTTTCATTAAGATAAATAGATTATTTGTAGTTCCCCTAAGTTCAGCACTCCTAGCAGCTGCCTTAGTTTCCATGGTATCTCATATTTCCAAATGACCATAAAAGCTGCAATAATTTTAATTTTAATTCTGCTAGAAACTGCTTTTTAGATGACAGCTTACCTTGAACAATAACATCATCATCCAAATATATTACTTTCTCATGTTTCTGGATAAGCAAAGGAAGATAAAATCGAACAAAGTTCAGCTATTAAACAGGAAAAAAAAAAGGTAAAGACTAAATGGTAAAGTTGTTTAATGTACTAGTCTCACACTTCTGTCTCTATTAACAATCAGTTTTAATATCTCTTAACTGAGCACTAGCCAGTGATCATTCCCCCCCCTCCAGCTTTACTAGTGTCCTGAATCCGTTGTTATTATTATCGTTATCATTATTATCAATCCATATTTATTTACCATGGCCCAAACCAAACAGCCCAAAACAGTCGCTTCTTTGCAGAATCACAGAATCCTTTAGCTTTCAGCTATTTTCAGCTCAAGGGATTTTCTGATCTAGGTGTGATCTGTTTAAATATGAACTTCAGTCCTAACTGAATCCCTGTACATTAGTACATCCACAAGACCTTTCAGCAAAGAATTCTAGAGACGTAGCACTCACTACATGAAAAGTGTGCAACATCTCTTGTTTGTGCTGACTGTCAGTCCAACTAATTTTATCTCATGGCCATTAGTTCTTACATGTGAAGAGAGTCAGCAACCATCCCCTATCCAGCCTTTCACACCACTCCATTCTCTAGACCGCTACTATTTTCATGCTAAAAGTCCACTATTTCCAGGCTGAACAGTTTTAACCCGCTGATTCCCACATGAAATCTTTTCCATATATTAGAAATATCAAAGGCTCAGAGCAGGCCAGTGTGAACAAATATTCTGGACAAACCCAAACATTTTCTGGTGGTGCTACATCTTTTTCAGTTAAGGGGACGAAGACTGCACATAATATTTAGGATGAGAGAAAACTGTGGATTAGCATTGTGGCAGACTGATGTTCTCTATTTTGATCCTTACTCTTTTCCTAATAATTTTTAACATCTGATTTGCCTTTTCTGACAGCCAGAAATTTAGATTAGTCATTGGACTCTGAATTAACCCTGGACATGAGCAGAATGCAGCCAACTCAAGTATCATGAAGGCACAGTGAACACTGTTACATCTCCCCTCTAATAAATAGTGTATATACTGTCAAAGATACAATACATTCAATTTACCAATTTTATGCCAACAAATAGTAAGGTCCCAGCAAGACAGACAAGTTGCAAGGAGCTTGTTATAGGGCATTTCTCCTTCTTAAGTCAGGGTATAGCATTTGGATCTGATTTGGCTTCTCTGACTTACACCCCCACATGTAATAGAACAGATCTTGGACATTTTAAAGCCTGTAATAGGTGTTAAAAAAACCCAAAAATTTGTTAAGTGGTGTTCATTTACTCACAGGCTGCAGTAGCTCAGGACGTGATGCATCTTGTCTGATTTTTCCTTTTAGTACCATAGGGTTGAATTCTACAACCTTAAATTTTATTTCTTTCAGTTTAGAATTTTCAATCCATTTTCTGTGATTAAAAAAGAAATGATAAAAGCAATATTGAGTGTGTGGCAAGTATTTCCAGTACAAAATTCACAGACTCTTAGGAGAATATGAGGGCTTGAAACCTCACTCATCTATTCTATCCCAACACAGAATCACTTATGTCTACAGCCGTTGCATACAGATATTTCTTTAAAACAAAACACAAAAAAATTCACACAAAAACCTCAACAAAACAAACACCCCACAGTACCATCAAAGCCAGACTCCACGTGTTGCCCAAATGACCCATCTTTCACCATCACTAGCAATAAGTGCTATTTTTCTAAGATTTCTTTGTATGATTAAAGATCATTGTTTCTTATCCTATTTACCATGCTTTTAAAGTAGACATTAGTTTTCTCCCTTTTACAGTTTTATGTCCTTCTAGATGACTGCCACATCACATCCTAATTATATTTTCTTCAGACTAAACTAATATTTTCATTATTTTGTCAGACTTCTTATCATCACTGCTTATTTCCTCCTCTGACCTCTCTTCTAAATCCTTCCTGAAGGCACCTAAAGCTAACCACACTTTTTTTGATGCCTTAATAATGTTTGCAAGATTGGAAAAAGTTTCCTCACATCTCCTCTGGTTATATATGTCGACATGCATAACCACTGATGCATGCCTTCTGTTTTTTGAATCAGTGTGGTCAGTTATCAGTCATAATTCTGCAGTTTTCCAAATGAATGCTACTGAACCTCCGCTTCACTCTGAGCCAATACAATCAGCTATTCCCACCAACATTACCTTGTCATTCCCTCTGCTGATTGTAATCATATTTTACAGTTAATTTTTCCAGTTCATCATGATTAATTTGTTTTCAGCTCTTGTCCTCAATAAATTTGCTGCTTCATGCCAACTGCAGATTCATAAAGAACATTCTTCACTCTATTATCTAGGTTGCTGATGAACTAGATGTGAAAAGCTCCCTGTGGGACCCCACTCATTACATTTTTTCAGTTTGACACAAATTGTGGCACACAGACCAGGGGTGAGACCTGCTAAGAAATCTGCTTTAGTTTTGCTTTACACCTTTCTCCCCTTAAACACGTTTGCAAATTTTAACACCGAAACATGCTTTCATTACAAGATTTTTGGGATTCTTTTTATAACCTTTCATTCATCCTCTTAGATGAAATTAGTTTTAAACAGTTCTGAAGCTTAAGACAGATGAGAAGTAAGAGCAGTGCCACAAAGTGGGATTGTGATGAGTAGGAATATGTATACTTACTAAAGACTCTTCTGCAGCCTATCTACAAAAAGCAGAGAAGGACAGGTCTGGGCATGGTCTGGCTATTTCACACCCTTTTACATCAGTCAGTGGCTTCCTACACATACAGAATCCTGGGGGCTACTACCAATAGCACTACTTAAATAAAAGGGAGAAACATTTCCCTGAAAGGTCCTGCAAAGTCTATCCCTGTGCTAGGGAGAACAACCACCTGGTCCTAACTTCAGTATGAAGCAAAGAAAGGCTGGTACATACCGAATATGTGGGATGGTTGTCTTCAGCCCAACTATGTAGAACAAAACACTGGCCTCTGTGTTGCTGTGGATGCTACTGATGGCTGCTACAGCTGCACCCATCCTGCCCGCAGCAGCGCAGATCACCACTGGGATTTCTTCTTCCATTTCCTCAGGACTCTCCAAATCGACTACAAGAAACAAATCCATTTTACATCAGACCTGGGTCCCAGGAATGAATAAATACCTTCATGAGCAGTGGAATCATTTCACCATCACCCCATTTCCTTACCACATTCTATACAAATCCCCATCTGGCAAGGCACACAGCATGAGCTGTCACTAGTTCAGAACTGCATGAGGTTTGACTGGACTGCTGGATGCCTCCAAACAGAATATATAAGAGAGTTCTCAGCATCTTTCTCAGCAGGGACACAATTCAGCCTGTCCTTCATGTAGCTGCTTATTCATATGAAACCTGAAGAGGTTTGAATACCTTTGAGACTTCTACTTCTCAGTTATATCTAGTACAAATTGAACAATAGGTTCCAAATTTATGAAAGGAAAGAAGTGAGTCAAAAAGAGTGCAATTGCATGACCTCCACTTCTTTGGGAAGTTGGCTTAAAAAGAACAGTGCAAAAGTTTGTGCCAGCAGGAAGTTGCTAATGATAAAAGGAAAAAACCCTCTAAATAATACTGAATCAGGTCACATTACTGATAAGGAAGATTTTTATCCCTAGCACTGATTAACTTACAGAACTTAAATATAAAAATTTATATTGGTTAAAACATAACCATTTAAGTCATAACAATTCCAACCAAAATATACTGAAAATAAATGGTTTATACCCAAAAAGAGTTTGTTTTCCTTGGGAACAGTGAATAAGCTATTTGTATTAACATTTAGTACTAGCTCAACCACATCAACACTAGCAGGTTTCTCTCACTATAAATATTCCAGCAAAAACTTCTGCTGTAAATGTCAAGATTTGATGGTCTATCTGAAATCAATAAGCAGGCCAAGAACATTCCCAAAGAGGAATCCCAAAGTCGTGATCGAAGTTTATTACCAGTTGACAACACCAATCTGTTCAGCACAAATAAGGATATGCTCCAGCTTCCATCTACATCAGTGACATCTGGATAAAAACGTGAATCAGAATGACAAGTCTTAGTCATTACTACCAATTTCTTTCTGTTTTACCCAAGTAATTCAGAAGCAAGAAATTTTGCATCTCAGACCATATGGAACGGTGTGAGTAGCTCAGCTGCTGCAGGACAAACAGGATTCAGTAAGATGGAAAGTGCTGTTCAAATCAAGACATAAGGAATGTAAAATGAAACAGAAGTGCAAGTCATTTACCTGTTTCATTTTTTAATGCCGATGGCACTTGGTGAACTTTGTTATACAGAATGGCACACACAGTTAAGACAAGAAGTAACAGTAAGATCTGGTTAACTGAAACAAAAGGGAGAATGTATTAACAACCAGTATAACAGTATAATATAATTCCCAATCATCTGTTTAAAAACAAAAAATCCAATTTGCAACCAGTACATATGATAACCTGTATCTGCTGTGTTTATCAAATTCTTCTTTCTCATATTATTTGATCAAGATAAAAATTTTATGTTAAAAATATAGCTCTTCCTTGTTACAGTAATTTCCAACTATCTCATTTTCATGGTGAATTTGGTCACTAAATCATAAGACTCACAATATATATGGGTTATCCCATACTAGGAAATTCACATGTTTCTGAATTTTACCAGGAGATTGGAACCTTTTTTCCTGCCTAATTTGTTGTCTGCTTATACTCACAGGACATCATGAGTTAATTATATTTGGCTAGCCCTTTCTTTTTCTAGTGCTTCTCTGATAAAACTTCATGCACAGGAGAATTTTTTTTTCTATTTCAGATCTTCAAGGTGTATTTGAGCAAAACTCCAAAAATTCTAGAAACACAAACCCAGCGTGCTATTGGAACCAGGAATGTTTCAAAATATTTGAAAATACATATTTTGACAGAGTAATTTTAATTAGTAAAATCAAAACAAGGCATGCAACAGCAAAGACCTGACTGTGTATTCTGATTTACAGTTCCTACAAATCTTGGACAAGATAAAGTCATTCAACACAAACCAACCACATGCAGGGACCAGAAGAGTTCACGGAATACAGTGGGGAAGGAATGCACTGCCATCATCAACAGTTACTTTGATGATTGGAATTCTTTGTTTCAGACAGCTTTGTTTCTTTTGCACTACCATAAAAGGTATTTAAGATGTACAAAAGAGCAAAGGGAGCAAGATTTTGAAGTGTTTTAATCAAAAGGGACAACTGGCCACAACTGGGCATGAGAATAAACTGAAATTGGTAAACATATGTCATCAAACCTGCACTAATTTAAACCGGCTGAGGAAAAAGCCCCCTGACTGCACAGAAATTTTGGGCGTATAATCGAAGGGAAACAACAGCCCATTTTCAGTCACTGACCCTGACAGTTGATGAGAACCCCAAATTTCTTGAGGGACACACCTCAATTTTGAGTATGAACAGCATTAATGTGCAGAGTTTATTAAAAAAACAGTCAAGTTCAGTTCTCTAGGCACAACCCACATGGAACCAGCAGCTACCTGCACTCTTGAAATTTCAGAATATCCAGTCTCATGCATGCAGTAATTTTAAATTAATGGAATTTATGGTTGTACTTATCCCACTTAGTTCACAGGAAAAGACTTTTTTGTATACTGAAAGTTAAGCATGATTTAGGAAAACTAGAACTATAAATTTATACGTAACTGTGACAACAATTGCATGAGAAATCGTATTTGACATTTCTGTGCTTTTTAAAAAATATATATTTCAAATGTTTTTAATCTCTCTTACTTTTCTTTAAAAGAGCCATTGTCGTGTTGGATGAGAACTTTGATCTGTGGTAAAATAAAACAAAAAACAATTAAAAGAGGAAAAAAAAAATAGAGAAAAATCATTAATGCCAGAAGTGAATACTAATTAGTTATTTCAGGGACAAGGTTTTGAATTATCGATTTTACTGCTGAACTGGTCAAAGTAAAACTGTATTTGATCTCTGTAAATACATTGCTTTTTTTGGAACAAATAACTAATATTTCATATTTTAATTTAAGAACTAGCAGGTTGTAAAAAGCATTTTAACAAATTCCATCTGATCGCCTACATCAGCAATAACTAATATTTTTAATACAGTTTAAAATAATGCGCAAAGAAGCATTAAATCACACACTGATGCAATTTATAAATACATTTATCTCTGATTTCACCTAAAACATAGTAACTGTCACAAATACTGATCTCTTGCTGGAGTATAATCACAAACATATGGGAATCTTATCTTGGAACAGTGTCTATCAGACTTGCAGAAAATTTCAGAGCAATAGTAAAAATATTTTCTAGGAGCAGTATCCTTCCACAAACAGTAAGGAGGGAGTATGTGTAATGTACCCTAAAACTGTACTTCTAAGCCAGGCCCAAGAGCAGTCATGACCTTATGCCCGAGAGGACAGAACATAAACCCTAAAATACAGGATTATGGGAAATACCACATTCATTTGAATTCTGAACCCAAACCTACTGTTTATGAAAAAAAAACCCAAACCACAAAACCAAGACAACAACAAACAACCAACAGTAAAAAACAGCACCAGAAGCCGAAGGGGAGGGAACAAGACAACTGTGTGCTCTAGCCTTTATACTGTGTAGCTGGATATAGGACAGAAAACAATTTTTCCAGTTACCACGCATACATAGGGACACATTACAGCATAGATAAGGATAAATGGGGATTTCTATGTCACATAAAAATGAAATTTAGTCCAGCTTCTTGAGAAGACAGACGGAACAGCAGGAATTCTTGAAATCTGAGTCACAAAACTGACCACCTCTCATTGGTTAATGCTCAAGTTCAGGCAGCATCCTAAATTAGTCTCTACTTTGACCAAAGACTTAAATGACAACAAAAATATGAAAAAAATCTAAGATGTGTCTTTGTTTGCAAACCACTTATGTAGTTAGGCCCCAAGAGAAGACTAGTTTGCAGTGAGAAAGGAGTTATTCTGGAAGTTTTTTCACATCTGCACTACTTATCTACATTCCAGCAGACCACTCTCTTCATGTGGCATTAATTTACACAGAGGAAATCAAGTTTATCTGTCGGAAAAAACACCACAGCTGAGAAAGCCCTTCTCTCACGCATTACACACAAGTATCATCTTCATATACATTTAAAAACTTTACTCATTTAGATAAGCAGAGAGGCAACAGAACCCCTACACTCTTGGAATAATTTTCTAACCCCATTTAGCTAATCGTAACCTTCCACTGATTTCATAGAGTTGATCACTGTCTTTGAATTAGTATTTGTAATAATTGTCACAAACAGTCCTAATGATCACTGCAAGAGGAAAGTTGCATAGCCACAGCTTCATAGTATCCTCAGAAATTGTTAAATCCACACAAACTGAACCATGTTTTAAACTTTAAAATCCAAACTCAGACAGACTCCCAAGCAAGTTTGAGTTCTAGGACTACAGCATTCCTATGCCTCAGTAACACCGATTGATTACCTGCCGAGTTTTAAGAAAAGAGAGGTACGTTTGCTCCCCTACAAATATTTACTCATTTTTCCTGCCTGTAGACATTATTTCCTGGAACCTGGCAGTCCCTAACTCAGCTGCCAAATCCTGTAACAAAACGAGGGGCTGCAGAAGGGAAAGCTCAGAAACAGTGACATTACTGCTCAGATATTTCCTGCTTAATTAGTCTTTTTACCTCTTCAAAGCAGTATTCGGGATTCCTCTCTCCTGAAGCGCTGAGGAGCTATTTACTTGGATCCTAGATAGCCCACAGCTGTGAGCACTCTTGCCAAAGCCTCCTTGACCACCATCCTCCTTTGAAGTCACCCGCACAAGGGCCTTACAGGGCACAGTAACAGTTTTACGATTCAATTCCTTTTTCAGACTCTTCAAAGTTTACTTTGGAGTTGTGCTGGTTTTCTTTTCTTTCTCTGCTGCTGAGGAATAGCACAGAGTCCAGACGCTGCACTGGAGGAATGAGAGCCCATAAACCACTTCCAGATGTGCAGAACGATGATGCAGCCCCAGATTTGGCAAACTTGCCTCAGAGCTTCAGCTAGCAGATTGCAAACAAATCCCATAAGACAAAAAGTCTTAAAGGGGTGGGGGAAAGAGAAGGAAGCAAACCCTTCCAGAATTTACTTCCAACAGTCTAGCTGCAAGTTAGATTTCTGTCATTATTTATGGTAAATGTGAACAGATAACTAGTGTGCAAGAGCCAAAATACAACATGCCAAAGTCAAACTGAAAGCCAAAGTTTTTCCAATGTCTGTTGGCAGAGTTCTTGCAAGTCAAAAGCTAAGGGAAACCCACAAAAATCAACTCTGAACATGCACTTTGACTTGAATAATCTCATTTCCAAATCTTTGAGCATTTAATCCACAGGTTTGGTTTAGATTCAAAAGGATCTTAGATGAAGGTTACCAGCACATGTTGATATCCTGCCTCCTAAGCTCTCCTGGAATGCTTTTGCTGTTTTATTTCTACAGCACTGCTTTTATTCAAATTCTCTCCCTCCCTTCTAGGAATGACCCTTCTATATGATAAAATGTTGTTTTGTCACAAGATTTTCATGAATACTGAAAGGAATAATAATAAACATCTTCAACACTAAACTATTGTTCATATTTTTAGCATGAGGCAGTGCAAAACTTACAAGGAGTACTCAGTGAAGGTTTTAAAAATCTTAAATGTTTTATATGAAGATTGCTCTTCCATTTGCAGGAACTGAAAATATGGGGTTTCAACTGTATGTCTCAAACATGCCCAAACTGTATTATCTGTGTCTGATTTTGTACAGAAATCCATCTTTTGCAGAGCTGCTTGAAGGAAAAACAAATGAAGAGTTAAACATACAGTTATGTGCTTTGTGCAGATGGCCACAACTATTAGTACTTTTTCTGTACTGTGGTATTTAAGCTGTATCAAGCTCATGTTTTTCAAAATCCACCTGTGTTTTTTCACCTCCCTTCCATTTCTATGTGAATCTGAACAGATCCAAGCAGCAGACAGCCACATGAGCCTGCAGAATTGGGACCAGATCCTTCACTTGACAGTAACCCCTGGATTACTGGCAACACAGTATTCGCAGAATCACAGTATCAATTAGGTTGGAAAAGACCTCTGAGATCATCGAGTCTAACCTACGAGCTAATACCACCGTGTTGACTAGACGATGGCACCAAGTGCCACCTCCAGGCTTTTCCTTCCTTCCTTCCTTCCCTTCCCCTCCAGGGACCATGACTGCAGCACCTCCCTGGGCAGCCCATTCCAACCTCTAGTTACCGCTTCTGTGAAGAAATTCTGCCTGATGTCCAGCCTAAACCTCCCCTGGCACAGTTTAAGACCACATGTGGTATTTTAGAGAATATTGACAGCGCTCAAATATACATCTCGGCATCGCAATTTACTATGTAGAGCTCGATAAGAAGAGGCTTTTTGTACCAGATACACCTTCTCTGGATTTCCCTCAGCCTCACACGTTTACATTCTCACATAACACCCTGCTCTCACAGGAAAGAGAGCAGCTTCTCTCCTGCAGAACGATACCTTCGAATTCACTCACATCACCCGCCGTCAACTGCAGAACCGAAACCTTGGTTTCTAATCTCAACCCTCAGAGCTTAAACAGTAACTCATTCCTTTTCTCACATGCACGCCTCGCAGGCAGCAGCATTACGTCGCCAGTCAAAAAAACCTGTGAGTCTGCTACACGTTTCTGGGGGCTCAGGGCACAGCCGGGCGCCCCGGGCTTGAAGAGCACACGCCAGACCAGCGGTGCCCCGGCTGCGCTTCCACAGGGCTCCCGCCAGAGCACGGCCGAGCCCGGCAGGTCCTCAGGGGCAGAGGGGCCGTGCTGACAGAGGGCTGCGGCGGAGGCGGCCGTGGGGCGGGACACGGGCGGGACACGGACCCGCCGCCCTCACGTCAGCGCCCCCCCTTCCCCGCGGGCTGCCCCGACCGCGCGGTGCGTTGTGGGAGCGGCGCTGAGATGGCGGCGGCCGCCGCCGGGCTGAGCTGGAGGCGGGTGTCCTCCTTCACGGGGCCGGTGCCGCGCTCCCGCCATGGGCACCGCGCGGTCGCCATCCGAGAGCTGCTCATCATCTTCGGCGGCGGCAACGAGGGCATCGCCGACGAGCTGCACGTCTACAACACGGGTGCGCGGGGCGGGGCCGGGCGGCGGGGCGGGCGGGGCGGGGGGGGAAGGCGGCGGGGCAGTCCCGGCTCCGGCCGCCGGTGGCACCGGGCTCCTCACGGCGCCCGGGATCGCCTGCCGAGCCTCCCGCGCTGCCCCGGCTCGGCCGAGGGGTCGGCGGGCGGGCTGAGGAGCTGCCTGGAGGTGAAATGGCGGGGCGGGAAATACGCCTGGGCCGTGGGGTCTTCCCTGGGATAGCGCTGCGCCCCGGCCGATGCTGCGGGGTTAGTGGGTCTTTCTGGGGAAAATGAACCTGGAAAATCTCTTGATGCGCCTGTTGTGCTTTCCCAGCCCCTGGCGCGGGGGTGCGGAGTCTCCCCTGGCAGGGCTCGGCTGAATGGCGGCAGACGGGATTAGTCCCCGCCAGTGTCCGGATCCCCCTTCTTCCCTCTGGTGGCGACAGCTCACGAGAGCTGAATGCGCTGGAATAGGAATCTTGCTTGGAAAAGTGAACATGCTGGCATTGGGAACCTTTCCAAACAGGAAGCTGCCCGAGACCGATTTTATTTGTGAAGGATTAGATGCCTAAATAGTTACTGTACGGGATGCTGAATGAGGCTGGAAAACTTGCGTGTAGTGTTGGAGCTTAGGCCGAGACGGGAGAATTCAGTGACTGATCTGTGCTTCTCAATCTGCCAGCGTTAGCTGATTGAGTTTTTCCAAACAGAATTTTTCTCTGTTATCTTAAAGATCTACTATTCTTAATCACATTTTGGGGGGAGAAGAAAAAAAATCTCTTAACCTTTCTGTTCTGACAAGTAATGCCAAAGAAAACTCTCAGACAGTACAGTTATGCTGTCTGTCAGAACAAAGGTTTTGATGGGTACCTTTGAGTGAGTCTTTTGGGTTTTTTTCCTGCCCGGATTTTCTGCTAAAGGTGTTTCCCCTTCATGGCAGTGACAAAAAGGATCATGACTCGGTTGTTCCGGTTCCTGGACGAGTGCTTGGCCCAAACTGACCTTTTTTCCTCTGGAGTTTAAGATGCAGGGTTGTGACCCAGGCTGCCCCAGTGTGGGATGCCATCTATGGCTCTTGCTATGCATGTGATGATTTCCGAGGAGCTGGCACACAGTGAGCATCTTAATCCCCTGCAGCAGCGTTCACTGGAAGCTTCTAATTTCATACTCTTTCTCTTCGTGCTTATGAAAAAAGCTTAGGATAAAGAAGACAGTATCTCCTGTAATTCTTTAATTCCAGAGCAGTTTAAACACCAATATGCTGCTGCTGGATCAGACTGTCTCAGCTGCTCTTTTTTGCCTGTGTGCCTCTCCTCTCCCATGTATCAGTGCAGTGCTCCGTAGATATTAACATGGGTCCCAGAACAGTGTAATTAGTTTTTGAATAGGGCTATTAAGTCCAGGCACACTGCCATGCTGCTGTAGCTCTAATAATTCTGTTTCTAGGGCTAGCTCCCTCTGAGTTAGAATAGTTATCTCTCTTCTGTGGAACTGCACTTGTGTTCCTCATTAGCCTCTATTCTTGGCAAGTCTGTTAAATTGCTGGGTGACCCTTCGTAAATGACTTAGTTACAGTGGCCTCATGGGCTCATTCATATTGAGTAACATTGGTTTGATACAGGTGTTTGCTTTTCTTTTTATTAAAAAAAAACCCTCAATTAAAACTTAGTGTTGAGCAAATAGCCCATTCACAGTTATCTACAGGCAAAAGGTAATGCTCTAAAAAGCAGAGGTGTTTAAAAATACACTTTTCGGTATTTTAAATATTTTTCTTCTTTTTTTTTTCTCTACTATAGTTACAAATCAATGGTTCCTTCCTGCTGTAAGGGGAGATATTCCTCCAGGCTGTGCAGCACATGGATTTGTTTGTGATGGTACCAGAATACTAGTTTTTGGAGGAATGGTTGAATATGGAAGATACAGTAATGATTTATATGAATTGCAGGTAGGAAATGTATGAAAATGTTTCAGTTTTGAGGACTACTATATTTATCTGTTTATGAACAAACACATTTTATTTTACCAACTGCAGAAGAAAGTTAGATAAGCTTTGCTCTGCTCCAGGAAGAATAAACTTTAAATTGATTCTGAATATGGAGAAAATCCAAATGCCTCTGAAAAAGAGACTTCCATGTAGTCTAAATAAATTAGTCTAAAATATTTAGTGTTTTATTTAAGTTAGCTCATATGTGTCCCTTTTAACATGTGTCCTGAGAAAAGCCCAGCATTCCCTTAAAAATAGTTCAGAAAATATAAGACTGTTAACATTACCTGAATTCTATTTACTGTGAGTGACTATAAATGAAGATATTTCTGAATATATTTTTCTTGTCTTCAAGGCAAGTCGATGGCTCTGGAAAAAAGTAAAACCTCAAGCTCCTTCCAATGGATCACCACCCTGTCCTCGACTTGGCCATAGCTTTTCTTTATATGGTAACAAGTGCTATTTGTTTGGTGGCCTGGCAAATGAAAGTGAAGATTCAAATAATAACGTTCCAAGGTATGCTGATTTGCTTTGAATTTAATGGCTTTAAAGACAAATGACTAGATGTGACAATTTTGAGCAGGAGCATTCTACTCAGGCTGTTCTGTGTACCAGGTACCTGCAGATGGATTATTTGTGCAGTGGACAGGTTGCATGCGAAGAAGCTAAATATTTCTTCTGCTAATCCCACAATATGTAACACTGACTGACAGCTCTGACACTTATGTAGGCAAACCTGAGTAGACTTTGGTATTTTTCCTCATATTTTGGGTGATGATTTTAAGAATGGCTTGTTTGTTAGAATTACTTGAATCAGCCAAGTCTCATGAGTCATCAGGGAATTCACGATGGATGTTTCCTCTATATTGCTGTGGAAAATAGTTATGAATTCATCTGGAAATTTTTTACAGTAGCAGCTGAAGTTGCCTTTGTTGCCAGCAAACAGTGCTCTAATGCTCCAGTTTTATATCCACGTTCACCTGCAGTTCAGAGCACTAATATCCACTGAGCTATAACCTGGCAATTTTAAGCTCAGTAAACAAGGAGTATGTCATATGAATGCCAAGATTCAAAAACAGTTATCTAAAAAATAACTAGCTGATAGATTTAGCAACAAATTGTCTATTGGCCAGCCTGAAGGCACAAGACAAAATAGCTTCTTCTCACCTTTATTGCCTTGGAGTTGCAGAAATTAATCTCTAATGTCTCTGGTCATCATGTTATTTCTCACAGCTTTGCAGTTTATTCCAAGTGTGTCCGTATGTAGTAATTTCTGCAAAGAATGTTGTTTATCCCTATTGAATGTTTCCTTCATTCATGTAACACAGTGTAGCAAATATGATATGAGAGCATGTTTCCTTAGAGGCAACCAGTTACAATTGTTCAGGTTTTTTGTTTTAAATCCAGTTTTGGTACTGTCCACAATGCATCGAATGTTTTTAGAATTTAAAACTCTACACTCTCCCAAGACAGAAGTCTGTAATACTTGGAAGGAGTCGGGGTTTAAAGCGCACTTGTAATTGTGCTTGTAAGTGAATTTTTCATACTTTTAACAATAATACCCTAGATATTTAAATGATTTCTATGAACTGGAGCTGCAACATGGTTCTGGCGTTGTTGGCTGGAGTATTCCTGTGACCAAAGGAATCTTGCCATCTCCCCGAGAATCTCACACAGCCATCGTATACTGCAGAAAAGATGTGGGAAGTCCAAAGATGTATATTTTTGGAGGGATGTGTGGCTGTCGGCTTAATGATCTCTGGGAACTTGACATAGGTGAGTTGATTCGCCAGTAGAAGTCAGTGCTCACTGGCTGAGAGGAAAAATTACAGTACAGAATGGTTAATGGCATGATGTGGTGCAAATATTATTGAGTCTAACACCGTATTGCTAGCCTCTCGTAATTTCTGGAATTAAATAGATACAGCATTGTTTGCATATATTATTCTCGTTGATTATGGGTGAGATTGTTTCTTTAGAGAGTTCTTTAGAGGGGTTGTCACTATGATAACCAAGCCAAATAACG